GTAGTACCCTTGTTGTCCTTGTCCTGATTGTTGCCCTTGTCCTGCCTGCTGCTTTTGTCCTGGCTGCTGTGAAGTTGGGTAGTACCCTGGTTGCCCTTGTCCCAGTTGTTGCCCTTGTCCTGGCTGTTGCGGAGAAGTTGGGTAGTATCCTTGTTGTCTTTGTCCTGGCTGCTGATCTTGTTGCCCTTGTCCTGGTTGCTGTTCTTGTCCTGGCTGCTGTCCTTGTCCTGACTGTTGGGGAGAAGCTTGGCCTGGATAGTATGACCCCTGCTGCGAAGAAGTTACACTTGGGTAATACCTTCTTAGTAGTGCAGGTATTCCCCAAAATATCATTTGTTGGAGTTGCTGCGAAGGCGTAGTCTCGCTGGGGTAGAAGGATCCGGCCTTGGACGGCACCACAGGTTGCTGCTCGTATTGTCTCGTGCCCGGGCTGACGGTGATGGGGCGGCACCCGGGGCTAACGTCTCGGAGTTGCTGGTCCACCACCTGTTGGCATGCCTCGAGCTCGTGCTCACATTGTAGTTGTCCAGAGGCCTCACCTTCAGCGGCGGTGAGAGCCACGAGGGCGACGACTACTGCCGCAAAGAGGACCAGGCGCTTAGCCATCTCAGTGAACTGTCAGTGAATTGATCTGTAGATTGGGGTGCTCGGTGTTGTGGGTGATGATGAGATTGTGAAGGTTGGATGGGCTTTTATAGGGACGAGGTGAAGGTTCAGGACATGGTTGTGTGCACGCCGAGGTTAGTTTAGCCTATGAAGAAAGCGTGAGAAGAACAAAATCGGTTGGAAAAGGGCAGTTTGCCAACACAAAAGAAGCTGGATAAGTAAGGAGCAATTGGTGCTTGCAAAACAGATTTTTGGACGGTCTGCTAAAGCCACGTAATGGGCTTAATCCTAGTTCTGGTGTATTGTTTGCAGAAGTGTGGATGTTTGTACATTGGTCTGTTCTTTTTATCTAAGAGGAGTGATTATCCTTCTTGGGGTTTGGCAGAATATGTATCTGTTAGCCATTGCTTCCGCAAATATGCGGCACTCAAAACTTCTAACCATGTCGAGTAGTGCCATTGCTTCCGCAAATATGCGGCACTCAAAACTTCTAACCATGTCGAGTAGTGGAAGGTAGCCTGCATGGAACATGTAAATTGATAAACCATCTCTCCTAAAGCCCATTTCAGGTTTTGTTGCTTGTCATTTAGTTGGATTTCCAGGCAACACAAATCCATGCTGACTCACAATATCTATCCAATGACTCACAACATCTATCTATGCTATGACGTGCAAAAAAGTTGGTAGAGTTTTGGACTTATGAAAACACCTTTCCGTGACAAATGAACTAACTGAAACCTTTGGCCAGTCATGTCTAAAATTAACATAGGATCTTAGTAAATCCGCGTCAAATAGTTTGATTTACACCAGAATATGGATTTTGTTTACTTCCCAAATGAGTTCAATTAATGTAGATTTAATTGTCCATTATGCCCTCCTATGTTTAACCTCTTATGTTCTTCTATGATCTCCAAGTGTTTCTTCCCTGCCCCTACCTCTTTGCATGTCCATTGTCTTTCCCTGGCCTCCATAGACGACGCACTTCTTCTCTCGTTGGCCTTATCGCTTGGTCACGCCATCACTAATATTCCACTGTAACTAGATGTACCCCACAAGTTGTTGCCGGAATATTTTACAATATATTTAAATGAGATTTGGTTGTATGAAACATGTATATTTGGATATGAGAACTAAAACTAAAAACACATATAATTTATTGTTTTTGATTATTGTATATTTGTGAAATATTTATCAAACATAAATAGCCAAGTAAAATGGAAATTATGCTGCATGTTTGCATGCTGAGGTGAGCTTTCTTCTATGCATGGTTGCATATTGAGGTGGGCATTTTCATAGGTGACGTGCTTGCATGTCGGGAGAAATGTGTTAGTGGATGCTAGTTATTTAGACTAGAAGAGTTGAGCGCGCTTTGCTGGGCAGTTGGGGTTTGGGTAAAAAAAAACTACTCTCTCTGTTTTAAAATATAAGGTGTATTAGTTTTTTTTTTGAGAAGTTAAACCTTTTAAAGTTTGATCAAATTTGTAGAGAAATACATAAATATCCATAATATCAAGTCGATATCATTGGATTAAGCATGAAACGAATTTTCATATTTTATTTATTTAGTATTATGGATATTGATGTTTTTGGTTGTGAACTTGGTCAAAGAAACAGATGGAGTATTTGGCTTGGTGTGTGAGGAAGATGATGAAGTGTATTTTCTTTTTATTTATAAAAATGCAGTGTGATTATGAGTTTTTCATTAATCAACCATACTTATGCATGGACGTTTTCCATGTCGGTGGCTACATGTAATGTATTAATGCTACAATATCATATATTGACTCTTTTTTTTATGGTGAGAGGATGCGCGGGATTGATACCATCGACCCGATCAAAATTGTGAACCAAATCTAAAATTGAATATTTCAATTGGATGGGAGAGCTCCAAAATTAGGGAGCATAATGAATTAAAAGAATGGAATGAGAGGACTCCTTGAGAGAGAGAAAAAAACAATTATTGACCCAGCAAGGAGAATTTTTCAAATCTTATTCAAGAAGCTACTTTACTATCACGTCATGCAAGGAGATACCAGCAGACCTTGCACATATCCCAAGATAGTTTACAATGTATTTGGCTAAATTCTTCAGAGATGTTGTTTGT